AGCTTGAATGTGTAGTTATTTGATTATAGTTATATATATATGTATGTATATATTTATATGTATATATATATATATATATATGTATGTATATATATATAATTTACTAATTATAGTTAAAACAAAAACAATCCCATTTACTACACAATGAAGTTCAGTGCCGAATAACTACACGTCAAGCTTTTGCATTAATTTGCTGGCATTGTTTTGTGCATTATCCTCTATTCATCCAGAGATAGTAAAAATCTGATTCGTTTAGTTGAAACGTTTAATTTCTGATTGCTTTTTTGTGGCTCAACTATAAAACAAACAAAAAGGGTTACGTTAAATTCAAAATGATGATATCTGCTAAAGGGATTCTCCCCGTCATCCTCCATCTCTTCTCAGTTTGGGATGGTGGGCCAAATCAAAGCTTACCATGAGCCAAGTGTTGCTCTAGGGCAGGGGTGCAAAAAGCCAAATATCATTGAGAGCCATGGTCCGAAGGTAAATATACCAAAGCTATATTACATTAAAGTTGCAATGGGTAATTTCCTAATTTATTTAATAAGATTTAAAAGTTAAAAAAAAACTAAACTTTAAATGGTATTATCTAATACAGTATAACATTTAAAATGATGGCTTATTGCAATAACAACATAAATCACATTTATAACAGACTGGATTTCAATGAGGAATACACTAGTCAAGCAGAATCTGCCTTTGCCTTGATTTGTCCTCTGTATGTCAGGTTACAGTACGTACATTTAAACTAAATCTGATTAATTTATACCATTTATTTGAAACGTTTGAAAAAACGTTTATTTCAGGTAGCTTTTAACAATAAAACAAACAAACGAAAGGTTACATTAGATTTAAAATGACAACCTTTAAACCATGCCCAAAATTCTTCCTCTCTTCTCAGATGGGATGGCGGCCAAATCAAAGGTTTCTGTGTACCAACTTTGGCCCGTGGGCCCTAGTTTAAGCATCCCTGCTCTAGGGACATCAGAGACTTATTTTACATCTTGTAAAAATGAGCATAACAGGTCCTCTTTAACTCAACTGTAACTATTTTAACCCATTGCACTCCAAGTAGTTTTGTAATATCTGCGAACACGCTGTGCTCATGCCATGTCAGAATGACTGTAATTACTCCTTTCCAACTTGTAAAATCTTCCTCTGACTCATAATTGCAAGTCAGAGAGTTGCACATGTATGCATTCTAAGTGCTTGGAGAGAGAAGACTTTCTTCATAACAAAGATGAGAACAATTCAGAGAAGAATCCGTGAGTCATCTCATAATTACAGCAGCTCTGATATTGCATGAATGCAGCTTCATCCCAATTCCTCTCTCGGCCTATTTTGAATAAAGACCATTCAGAACGCTAATCAGCTTGTGGTCGCTTCAACTTTAATTGGCTTAATTGTGTGAATATTAATTTTGGTAACAACAGCAACCATTTTCAATTAATCTGTTAAAACAAAAGAAGCTAATTAAAAGTAGTGTGATTAACCCTCTTGTTGTCTTTAAATTCTGCACACACAATTCGCCCTTTGGGTCAAAAATGACCCGTCTTCTTCTAAACCTCTAAAATAAAGCAGATAAATATAATTTCAATTCTCAGATCTATATTGCATCTATATTGAAAAAAACAACATCATATTTTGTGAATGTCTAGATTTTTCCTCATCAGTGTGCAGTATTTCATCGCACATCATGATTTTGCCAAGTACAATGCGATCCTGGATTAACATCCATGTTGGTCCTGGAACATCATTTTTGTTGGAAAATGTAATCCATACATATTCCCTACCCCTAAACCCAACCATAACGGTAAATTATTCCCAAAATCAGAAAGGAACAATAGTTAACTATCATATAGAAATGCATAAACCAAACCATGAGGTTAAACTTAACATAAACGTAAACATTTCCCTTAATTCTAATTGAAATGTTGTATCTGGATCAACATAGATGTTAATCTAGGAACACGTCCTACTTGGTGAAATCAGGCTGGTGTATTTCATCAATATTTAATCAGTGGACAAGTCTCGTTTCTGACTACAGTAAAGGGTGTGGATCTCTTACAAAATAAAAAAATGTTTATTTTTTATAAAATGTTGGGTTAAATTTAGAAAACGTCACCAAACTTCAAGATAAAAAAAAAACATTGTTGAGTTTTTTCTGCCATTAAAATTGGAAATTTGTGACCTGCAAGTCAACAGGAGGGTTGATTGAAGAAAGATTGCGCAATGCAGTGATAAAGACCAGAGTTCGCAATCTTCTTGAAAGTGCTTAAAAGTACTTGAATTTCAGGCATATGGATAGGTAGGTCTCGAGAGCTCCCCCTGGTAAAGGGAGGATAAAGAAGAGATGGGGAGGAAGGGGACATTTTTCCAAAACAAATATAAGGTAGTTGGGTGAAATCAGTCTATTTATTTTAGGCTTGGATCAATCTGATTGGATTATTACTGATTATGAATGAGGGACCAGCTGCGATCAATCATATCACATGCTCCTCTCGAAATTTGTTTGCAAAAGAAGTGTAATTGAATTGTTAAGTACAGTAACATGACGCTACATACGCAGGGCTGTGCATTACAAAGGTGTTAAAATGAATGGTGCTTTAAAAATCTGCTGTTCATGAAAGTGTGGAAACTCTGAAAGACATTTTTGGAAGGAAAATTGAGACCACTTTTGAAAATAGTTCTATTTGTTTTAATGTTTATTTTAAATTCTGGTATATGTAAAGCACTTTGAATTCCCATTGTGTATGAAATGTTCTATATAATCTTGCTTTGCCTTGATGCAAACACATTTTCCTAATGAATAATCAGTTTCTTTTTTGTTCATGTCAATTAAATTTTTCATAGAATCAATCAAGATTGGCATGCGCGCATGACCTCCAAGATAAAAACCCTGAAGAGACTGGAGAGGAAAGCAAAGCTTCCTGAAGAACCAACCCTTGATGCACAGAAGGCCAAAAATACACATTTGGGAAGACCTCAAGGTTTCCAGAGCAGTCGGATTCAGAAGCAGGCGGACACGGCAAAGACCACAAAAGCCAGTAAACTGGCCCTGTTACGCCACCTCAACGAAAGCTGCCCGGGGTTGATGGTTTGGGCAAAGTCCTGGAAGTTCTCTCAACCATTGCCGAAACCTGAAGAAAATCCTTGTGTGGTCAACTGGGGACAGTCATGGAAGTTTCTCAATCTTCAACCAAACACGGAGAACAAACCCTGGTGTGATCTTGGTTTTGATGCCAACAATAATATAAGCACCAATGATGTGCTTCTATGGGAGAAGCTCAGCAAATCCTTAAACTCTGAGTGGATTCAGCCAGATCTGGTCACTGCAGAATTGGAAAAGTCGTGGAAATTCACTCAGAAAGCAAGAGAGCCTAATGAAGGCACAAGTAATTGTGCAAATAAAATCCAAGAGAAATGTTATGAGCTGTGGGGGGAAAGTGCACCAGAATGGCAGGAGTCATGGAAGTCAACGAAGCATGTTAAAGAAGCAGAAATCAGGATGGACATTCAGCCATCAGCTAATGAGGAAAAGCAATCTGAATGTCCCTGGGATAACTCCTGGATGTACTTTAAGAAGCAGCTCCATACAAGTGATAATTCAGCTTGGAAAGAATCTTGGAGGGTTGCAAATACCACATCAAGACCAGAGTCGAAATCAGTGCAGTTTCAAGCAGCGGTGCCTGAGGAGATGCATCACGACATCTACAACATGATAATGAACATGTCTAGAGAGATGACGCACGCAATTCTGTTCGGTGAGAGGGATCCGCAGCCATCTGAGTGGGAAAAATCTTGGAAGACCATTAAAAATCAGTCAGAGTATAAAGAAGAGATAAATAAAGCTGAGGTGGAAGTGAAGGTTGAGACACAGAAACCAGACAATTCCAAACAACAAGCTGAGCGTGTGAAATTCGACATACTTGCTTTGCCAAAAATCCAGAAGAAGCAAGAGATGCTTCATTCCCCAAAGGAAATAGATTGGAATGATTCCTGGAAAATGTTAAAACGCCACTGTGGAGAGGAACGAGGATTTAGGAGCCCAAGAGGTCCACTTCAACAATTACCAACACAAACTCTCAACGAATGGACTGATTCTTGGAGATTCACAAACTTAACTCTCAACCAAGATGCTGGTTTATGGGAGCAGGGATGGTCCACCAATACTCAGCCTCGGCCTATTAGAAGAGTGCAAGAAAATGAGGATTTCCCACATAATGGACCGGCAGGGGTTCGCGTCTGGTCTGAAACCTGGAGGTCCACGAGACGTCAGCATCTTGCGGAAAGACAAGGAGCAAGCGCATCAACTCAACCAATATGTCGACATGCATACGCAAGATCTGTCGCCGACTGGGATCAATCATGGAAATCATCAACTCATAAGCATCATGATAGACCCTCCATGACAGATTGGGCAGATTCTTGGAGGTTCTCCAACTCTGAAGATCTCCAACCAGAGTATTCGTGGTTTGAGAAGTCAATGGAAATTAAAGGGAGAATCTGCAGAGCATCTAATGCATTTCACAGACATATGGATTCCCAAGACTGGAATGACTCTTGGAGGGTGAAGAAGACGGTTGATGGACTTGCGCATCTTATGAAGAATGAAGTGCTGGATTGGGATAATTCTTGGATGTTTTCCAGCACAGGGTTTTATCAAAGACAAGGTGAAGTTTACTCGAATTTCCAGACTGATGTCAGAAGCAATGCAATGTTAAAATCAGTCCAGATGGAGTGCAGTTCAGATTGGGTTCGGTCATGGAAGATGTCGAACCCACAACCCCCAAAGAACATCACCTCATGGGTTGATGCAAAGTCATTCAATGCACAGAACAATGCATTGATGCTATGGTCGAAACACAAACACATCAATTATTTACCTTCTGCTTTGGTCAATGACCTGCAGCTGAATATCTGGAGCAAGTCTTGGAGGTTCGTGAAGATGGATGTTGACTCAAACCTGCGAGGTGAATCTGTCAAAACGACAAAGAGTCCAGCGGTCATGTGTTTGAACATAGATCAGCAGAAACCGCAGGAGAAGAGATGGAGCGATGCATGTAAAATAGCCAAGATGCAAACGAAGCGATCTAAATCAAGCCACAATGAAGACAAACATGAACATGAGATGTTCGCAGAATGGACTGAATCTTGGAAATTCTCAAATAATCTAAAAAGCCATGACCCTGCAATGGTTTCTGTTTCACTGGGAAATTGGAGAAACTCCTGGAAGTTTCTCCTTGAGTCGTATGCGCCAGTGAACGGCCAGTGAGTCGGTAAAGATTAAAGACTTTGCAGGTTTCAAGAGTGCAGCTCTTCAGAAATCATTTAAAATACATGACGGATGATGTTTTAAAAACTTCTACACATTCGACCCCAAATAAAGTTGTTCATGCAATTGCGCTTGGTCTTATCTATTGTGTCGAAGCACAACAAACCATAACAAATCATTATTTTTGCAGCAGTCATGCTGGCAGCTGTGAACCGCAGCTCTGGTTTAACAGAGCACATCATTTATTCTTTTTCAAGTCGTTGCACATAGAGACCATGTGGACCAGCACGAATGCAGTTGTTTAACTCAAATACAAGTGTAGTAAATTGGACGCCGTTCAACAGAAAGCTAGAGCTTCTCTGAACACAAACCTCAGTAGTACGACATGCAAACATACAGTTGAAGTCAGTATTATTAGCCCCCCTGTATATTTTGTTCCCCAATTTCTGTTTAACTGAGAGATTTTCTCAACACATTTTCTAAACGTAACTCATTTCTAATACCTGATTTATTTTATCTTTGCCATGATGACAGCACATAATATTTGACTAGATATTCTTTAAGATAGTAGTATTCAGCTTAAAGTGACATTTAAAGGCTTAACTAGGGTAATTAGGCAAGTCATTGTATAACAGTGGTTTGTTCTGGAGACAATAAAAAAAAGCTAATAATATTGACTCTAAAACGGCTTAATTTTTTTTTTAAAAACTGCTTTTATTCTAGCCGAAATAAAACAAATAAGATTATTACAGGTAATATTATATAAAGGTAATATTATGTAAATATATAAATATTAAATAATTTAAAAATATAAATTTATATTAAAAATATTATAAAATTTATATAAATATTATATAAAAACATTACAGCACATACTATGAAAATTATTCATTATTTGGGAAATATTTGAAAAAGAATCAAATAATCAAAGAATCAAATATCAAATACTTTGAATTCAAAGGAGGGTGAATAATTATGACTTTTACTGTATACACTGCAAAAATGTACTGCTTAATCAGAGGAAAAGCGTACTTAGCAGATAAAAGCAACAGAAACAATATATATATATATATATATATATATATATATATATATATATATATATATATATATATATATATATATATAATGTTAAAAAAAATAAGCCTGATTGAACATATCATCATCTGGAATTATTAGGTTCTATCTGCGTTCTGAATGATTTTGAGATTTTTTTGCATTCCATATAGCAAACAGTATGTGTGTAACATTTGTTTTTTTCTTAAATAAAATGTCTCAAAATGTAAACAATATATTTAAACACATCCCATAATGTAAATAAGTTGTTATTTAATAATAATAATATGTCAATAACTCAATTTGACAAAAATGCCAGATAGAACCTTACAATTCTAAGGTGACGATATATATAGTTGAAGTTAGAATATTTTCCCCCCTTTGATTTTTAATTTTTAAAATATTTTCCAAATGAGGTTAAATAGAGCAAGGAAATTTTTACAGTATGTCTGATAACATTTTTTCTTCAGGAGAAAGTCAGCTAAAATAAAAACAATTAAAAAAAATGTAAAAAACATTTTTAGGACAAATTTATCAGCCCCTTTGTGCTATATATTTTTTTCAACAGTCTACAGAACAAACCATCGTTATACAATAACTTGCCTAATTACCCAAAACTGCCTAGTTACCCTAATTAACCCAGTTAAGTCTTTAAATGCCACTTTAAGTTGTATAGAAGTGTCTTGAAAAAAAAATAGTCTAATATTATTCACTGTCATCATGACAAAGAGAAAATAAATCAGTGATTAGAAATGAGTTATTAAAACAATTATGTTTGAAAATGTGTTGAAAAAAATCTCTCCGTTAAACAGAAATTGGGGGAAAAATAATTCAGGGGGGCTAATAATTCTGACTTCAACTATTTATATATATATATATATATATATATATATATATATATATATATATATATATATATATATATATATATATATATATATATATATAT